TACACGGAGAGAAATATTCAATAAAAATTACCAGAAAAAAGACGTAAAAATTACGTTTCGAAACGTAATCTGGGAGCGAAGTAAAATTCAATAAAAAGTGTCAATCGTCACGTAAATTCTACGATCTGTTCCGTAAAAATTACTCATCCGTCCGACGCCTCACGGCTAGCCATGAGTTACCGTGAGGGGGAGATTTTAATAACACGTTCCGTAATTTTTCCGGAACTTTTCGTAAAAATTCTTAAGCATCCAAGAATTTTCATGTTCTGAAGCATAATAAGTCTTGAAGTTTCTGTTAGATTTTACAACTTCCAGAAAAATTACGTGACTTTTTCGTATTTTTTCGTTGACAGACCCGAAAATTTGAAAATGTGAAATGTGAAAATGTGAAATGTTCCGTAATTTTTCATGAATATTTCTCTCCGTGTATGTGCCGCATACAAAAAAAATCGTATCGTTCACCAAAACTGCTTCAACTATTTTCTTATTGTAAATCGAACTTCAGGTTTTTCTCTCAGTGTGTGAGCCCTCACCAGGTCCCTTTAGAGCAGATTCTTTGACCTTGAGAGGATCTCCATCCTTCCAAGGTGGAGGCTCGAACCTCCAGGCATTCCTCTCGGCTCGCTTCTTCTTGGACTCCTCGTCATCAGCCAGCGGAGTCGGCCTCGGAATGAACCTCGTCTGTTTCGGTTTAGTCTCCTTCGGCTTGAGTTGAGCCTTGGGTTTCGCAGTTTCGTTTTCCACCGATTCTTCGTCTTTTCTAGCCGCTTCTTCCGCTGGCGCAACAGGCTCCGCATTTTCGTCAACTATTTCTTCTTCGACTTCTTCATTTTCATCTTCAATCGGTTCTTGTTCTTCGGAATCGTCTTCTGGCTCCTCAACAACGGCTTCTGTTTCAACTGTTTCTGTGGGCGTGGGGACGTCTTCTTGGACCTCGTCATCAGGTTCTGGTGCTGGTGATTCAGACTGTAGGGCTGTCGCTTCAGGTTGTTGTTGAACATCTGTAGTTCACGAATGAAAGTCGAAATTTTGTTGACAAATTCAACTTGTTTTTTGCGCTGATTCCATTACATATTTGATAGGAAAAGGTCAATATATTTTGAATTTCTGTTCGAATGTTTCTCCTGAGATTTTTTCATTAGAATTAAATGGATATTCGAATTATCGAATATTCAACAGAATCAGCGCAAAAAAAAATATAATTTTTCAACAGAATTCCCATAGAAATCCTATGGAAACCCCATAGAATTCCAATAGAATTTTCTAGCGAATTCGCTAGGCTTTCTATTGAATTTTTTCATACGTATTTCCTCATCTGTTTTGCTTTCAGCTTCGGCAGCCGCTTCTTCCTCCAATTTCCGGCGTTTCTCTTCCCGCTCAAATTGCTCTTTGAGGGCTTGTTTCCCCCGAGTTTCCACTTCACTGAGGTAATACTCTTTCCATTCTTTCGCAGTGTCATCTTCTCGCGCTCTCAAGAAGCGATAGGACGGGAGGGATAGGAATTTCATCCAAGGGGTGGGCTGTGAATGAAAAGTTAGGAACAGGGATCGGAACAATCATCAATTTCAAAGTAAATTAAATTTAGCTTCTATTATCTGATAATATTACCCTACAATTTTCAATTGCTAAATTAATCATCAATCGAATATTCAAATTCCGAAATAATCTATCAACCAATCGTGTCAAAAGTTTGATCATTACATGTCTAATTGAAAAATCCGTTTATAAAATTTATAATTATTTACTCAATAGTTGAGAGAAAATTTAAATCATGAATTGATTTTAGCTGCAAATTAATGAGGGTTTTAGGTAAAACTTGATGCGGATTTCAGCTAAAAATTAATGTAGATTTTAGATGAAAATGAAGATTTTGGCTGAAAATTAATGTGGATTTTAACTAAAAGTTAATGTGGATTGTAGCTTAATATTAATTTGGATTTTAGCTGAAAATTAATATATATTTTAGCTAAAAATTAATATGGATTTTCCTTAAAACATAATGTCGATTTTAGCTCAAACTTAATGCAGATTTCAGCTAAAAATTAATATAGACTTTAGCTAAAAACGCGACCTCCTCGCGAAAAATATTCAAGAAAAATTACGGAACATTTCACGTAATCTGCAAGCGAGAATCGTTTTCAGTGAATTTCTATAGGAATATAAGAGAATAAATCTGAAACGTTCAGTAAATTTTCGGGTCTGTCACCGAAAAAATACGAAAAAGTCACGTAATTTTTCTGGAAGTTGTAAAATCTAACAGAAACTTCAAGACTTATTATGCCTCAGAACATGAAAATTCTTGGATGTTTAAGAATTTTTACGAAAAGTTCCGGAAAAATTACGGAACGTGTTGTTAAAATCTCCCCCTCACGGTGACTCATGGCTAGCCGTGAGGCGTCGGACGGATGAGTAATTTTTACGGAACAGATCGTAGAATTTACGTGACGATTGACACTTTTTATTGAATTTTACTTCGCTCCCAGATTACGTTTCGAAACGTAATTTTTACGTATTTTTTCTGGTAATTTTTATTGAATATTTCTCTCCGTGTAAGTCCCTCAAAAATTCAACGAATCCAATCGAATACAATTTTCTATCGAATTCGCTACATTTTCCCACAAAATTTTTTCCTCCATGTAAATGCAAAAATCGGTAACTTCCACAATATCCAAATTGCGACTACCTCTGCAGAAATGTGTGAGTTCCACTCACTTCATAAGCAAAAGCAGTCCGATAGACGCCCCCCTCAGTGATAAGCTGAGCAATTTGCTCTGCAGACAACAGATCCGGGCACGCCATGGCTTTCTTAATGACCCCCCACAATTCCCTCTGATGTTTCTTCTTGGCCTCCTCATCCATTTCTTCCATCTCCGTTTGCTTAGCTCGCAGAGTCTCCGCCAGATCCTTACACTCCTCCGTGCGGAAATCCTTGGGCTGGCTGATTTTTATTATGTTATCAGTCGGTTTATAATTAAGCGTGGCTTTCCGTATTTTGAGGGGAAACTCTCGCGGCATCTCTATCGGCTTGATAACAGGCTGCGCTATTATTTTTATTCGCTTCGATGCTTTCGCTTTCAACGCCTTTTTCGAAACACTCTGGTCAAGCCGAGATAACTCAGATAGGTCAGGTTTTTCCACTGGTTTTGATAAGATGTCGATTCTTTTTTTCATCTTCCATAACGGCTTTGACGTACGGATCTGGAGGAATGACGTAATATAATGCCGTCAACATTTTTTTGTGGATATTAAAGTAGAATAAATGTAACTTGAATTTTTTTAATTAAAACGTATGGAACAAGTGTAAAATTAAAGTAAATTAGCAATATGCTTCGGAATGGTTATTTCGCACATAATTTCCTTCTATCATGTACAATGCATTGTTTGTTTCATTTTCTTAAATTAAATAAGATTTCTTTTCAACTAATTTTGCCAGATTTTCAACTTGGTTGAATGGCATCATCATCATTATCCTTATTATCCTTTTCTTCTATACAACCGATTGTCTTTTTTACGGTTCTATCTTTCCCCTTAGCCTTCGATAAAATGGTAATAGAAAAATTTCATTTATACATACTTGAATGAATTTGAAACGTCACATTTAAATAAACCATCAGATAGCTCACTATCAGGGAAAGTCATGAAAAATTCGCAATTTTCAACAATCATCGTAAAAATTAAATCAACTAATATAGCTATCGTAATCATCTTTTAACTTCGACTTGATGGCATTAAAACAAACATTTTAAGTTGTGATTGAATTCATTTGAAGCATGATATTCAAAGATATCCCCTGAATTATGATTTTCAAAAAATTGAGATAGGTCAGATTTTTCCACTGGTTTTGATAAGATGTCGATTCTTTTTTTCATCTTCCATAACGGCTTTGACGTACGGATCTGGAGGAATGGCGTAATATAATGCCGTCAACATTTTTTTGTGGATATTAAAGTAGAATAAATGTAACTTGAATTTTTTTAATTAAAACGTATGGAACAAGTGTAAAATTAAAGTAAATTAGCAATATGCTTCGGAATGATTATTTCGCACATAATTTCCTTCTATCATGTACAATGCATTGTTTGTTTCATTTTCTTAAATTAAATAAGATTTCTTTTCAACTAATTTTGCCAGATTTTCAACTTGGTTGAATGGCATCATCATCATTATCCTTATTATCCTTTTCTTCTATACAACCGATTGTCTTTTTTACGGTTCTATCTTTCCCCTTAGCCTTCGATAAAATGGTAATAGAAAAATTTCATTTATACATACTTGAATGAATTTGAAACGTCACATTTAAATAAACCATCAGATAGCTCACTATCAGGGAAAGTCATGAAAAATTCGCAATTTTCAACAATCATCGTAAAAATTAAATCAACTAATATAGCTATCGTAATCATCTTTTAACTTCGACTTGATGGCATTAAAACAAACATTTTAAGTTGTGATTGAATTCATTTGAAGCATGATATTCAAAGATATCCCCTGAATTATGATTTTCAAAAAATTGAGATAGGTCAGATTTTTCCACTGGTTTTGATAAGATGTCGATTCTTTTTTTCATCTTCCATAACGGCTTTGACGTACGGATCTGGAGGAATGGCGTAATATAATGCCGTCAACATTTTTTTGTGGATATTAAAGTAGAATAAATGTAACTTGAATTTTTTTAATTAAAACGTATGGAACAAGTGTAAAATTAAAGTAAATTAGCAATATGCTTCGGAATGATTATTTCGCACATCATTTCCTTCTATCATGTACAATGCATTGTTTGTTTCATTTTCTTAAATTAAATAAGATTTCTTTTCAACTAATTTTGCCAGATTTTCAACTTAGTTGAATGCCATCATCATCATTATCCTTATTATTCTTTTCTTCTATACAACCGATTGTCTTTTTTACGGTTCTATCTCTCCCCTTAGCCTTCGATAAAATGGTAATAGAAAAATTTCATTTATACATACTTGAATGAATTTGAAACGTCACATTTGAATAAACCATCAGATAGCTCACTATCAGGGAAATTCATGAAAAATTCTAAATTTTTAACAATCATCGTAAAAATTAAATCAACTAATATAGCTATCGTAATCATCTTTTAACTTCGACTTGATGGCATTAAAACAAACATTTTAAGTTGTGATTGAATTCATTTGAAGCATGACATTCAAAGATATCTCCGAAATTCTGATTTTCAACAGATACAAAATTGTTGCATATTCTCAAATAAATCAAAATAACGATATTGCTATCGCCTTCATCTTCGAACTCTGTCGAAAAGACATCCAAACAAATTTTTGAGCCATTATTCAATCAGTTCAGAACTTTTCTTATTAGTTAACGTGGGACAACCGATTTACGAAAAAATTCGAAAATTCAAAAAACTAATCTATGAATTAAATTTTAATTAATGGCGATTGATAGGGCCATGATGATCATATTTCTCTTGATGTTGTCCATTGTGCCCCATTCTCTTTTGAAAAAAAATTAAGCTTATATTTTACTAACCACTGGTTCCGGCTCTGGTATCTTTCTCGGCAATGAATTTATTTTAGCCCAAGCATTGAATCTCTCCCAATCAGCTGGGGTTTTCAGCCACCCCTTCAATTTCAATTTATACCGACCTCCCTTTTTCTTCCTGTCCAGTGGATTATAGCAATGTATTTATCAACTTAATTAATAATTTCTGAATATGATACAGTACTTCTCTTTTGGTTTCTCTGTCTTCTCCTTGGTCTTCGGTTTCGGCGGGGTAACTTTAGCCGTCATTTCAACACTTGTAAATTTTGAACAAGGACATTTACGTTATGAATAACTAATTTTGAATTTAAGGTGTATTTTTTTAAATTTTAAATTGATCTTAAAAGCCATGACATTTCGAAATAACGGGGAGGGGTTAGCGAAACAGCTTCATACTTTTGATTTGAATTTGTTTTTTTCTATCATTCTTGGTTCCTGTGGCTCGAGTTAATTGAAACCATGCGCAATTAATCGAAAGAACGAGAAATTTTCGTCAGAAGTACTTCTTTTTTAGACGCAATAAAGCTTAAAAAGAATTGGGACAACATTTTTTAGTTTCTCTGTCTTCTCCTTGGTCTTCGGCTTCGGCGGGGTAACTTTAATGGTCATTTCAACACTTGTCAATTTTGAACAAGGATATTTACGTTATGATTAACTAATTTTGAATTTAAGATGTATTTTTTTAAATTTTAAATTGATCTTAAAAGCCATGACATTTCGAAATAACCGGGAGGGGTTAGCGAAACAGCTTCATACTTTTGATTTGAATTTGTTTTTTTCTTTAATTCTTGGTTCCTGTGGCTCGAGTTAATTGAAACCATGCGCAATTAATCGAAAGAACGAGAAATTTTCGTCAGAAGTACTTCTTTTTTAGACGCAATAAAGCTTAAAAAGAATTGGGACAACATTTTTTCAGGTCTTTTAATTATTGCAGACCGACGGCGTGGCGCAGTGGGTAAGAGGGATTGCCCACCAAAGAACTTTTTTTTTACGGACACGGTCAACACAATACAGATTCAAATAAGCAAATTACAGGGTAAACCAAATCATTTCAACAAAAAAATTGATCTTTAAACGAATACATAAGAATTTAACTCGAGAGTCAATTATATTTGACCAAAGTTTACTGTTAATAACGATATTGTTCATTCAACTTTTTCTAGACCAGTTTTTATGAATGTGTATACTGTATATATATAAATAATGTTGTGACTCGGAATAAAAAAATTGTTATAAAAAAAGTACACACATGCGAGAGGTTTCGGGTTCGACTCCCGGTCGAGTAGAATGATGATGATCTAATCATCAAAGTCTTGACCAAGCGGCCGCTATAATAGATTTTGATAGATTTAGGTGGCATCGGGCGCTTCGTGCGCCTAGCAGCTCCATTCTAGAGTTATATGGGTGAAGTCAGGGCGTTAACTATTGCAAAGACGATATGAGAACCTTCTGCAAAATAAAAATTCAATACAGTGCAGGATTCATAATAATGGATCAAGTACTCTTCACTTTGTAACAATTGTGATCAAATTTTTTAGAACCTCTGTAAACTCAAAATTTAACATTATTATTAATATTATGTATTTATTGAGAAAGAACAGCATAGCTACATCTTTCAGTCTGAGTAACTGCGTGCTTGGTGATGTGTCCAAAATATCAAGATATAACAACTTGAACTATTTATAATATGCATGATATTGTGCAGGATTCATAATCATCGACAAGTACTTCCACTTTCATAAAAATTTCAAAAATGTATTTAAAAATCTCATGGACGGATTACCTCATAAATATTACATTTTCTCAATACCCTAATAACTAAATGAGTGGACGGAATATGTTACAGATCGAATTGCCTCCCAAAATGATTACATTTGTACCATAGTTTACAGCTAGTATAAAAAAAATATGCATTAAATTTCTTCAGATCTGTGTAAAGCCCTTCCACAATCCATAACTCTCCCCCAATCCCTCTCGTCAACTTCCCTCCAGCTCCACATCATCGAAATAATGTCCGAATGCCTTAAAACGACTAAAAAAATACAAAACTCCCCCTCCCCTTATCACCCCAAGAAAACCGCCAAGAGGAGAGTAGTCAACGACGCGACCAGTGAATACGTGATGGCGGAGGCTCCAGCATTGCAGTCGACAATCCTCCGGGCCCTCATGAAGTCGGGCCCCAGCCACTTGCTGTACTCCCTCTGATCCGGTGGAATGATGACAAGCTGCTGCGTGGCGTCCTGGAATATAAGATCGCTGTAAGGTGGAGTGCTGTAGAACATGGAGAAGCTGAACTCGTCGACCTCCTTCCTCCCGTAGAACTGCTGCGCGTAGATGAAGAGATTCGTGAAGGCGGTGATCTGGGTGTCATTGTACCCGTCGTAGCCTCCACGTGTGACAATGGCATTGGCCTTCACCATTCCCAGATTGCAGCGCTCGTACTCAGTCGTCGGTTTTCTCGTCCCATCGGGGCACAGCAGCTCAAAGTCTTTGGTGAAGGCGTTCCTCGCCCAAGTCTCCTTTCGCTTTCCGTCAGTCGTCTCTGACACAGTTGTGTGCTTGATGAAGGCCACGTCACCACCGCCCTCCACCAGACACCTGAGGGCACCGGTGTAGCCGTAGTAATCCTCCGTGGCGTCACGACGGCAGTATCTGTAGCTCACCCCGTGACAGAGATCGCACATGTTGTCGTAGGGGACGCCGATGTTGTATTCCAAGCTCAAAGCCCCTGGGACACAGGACTTGGTGAAGTACTCGGCTGCTGCGCGCACTGCGTCACAGCCGTAGCCACGGATCCAGCCGTTAGAGAGGAGATAGGCTAGTGGGTACACCCAGCCGGCTGCGGTGTTGATGCCTGTGTGACAGGTGTACTTATTCTTCAAGTACGTCAGGTCGGTGGTTGGGTCGTTCTCCTTGGCTACTGCTACCACGTAGTACTCCGGGGTCGGGAGGTTGTAGACCTCCGCGATGAAGGGAATCAGGTCGAAGCGCAAACCTGCGGTGTACACGTCGCTCGAGTCGAGGATTGCTATGTCCGCTTGGCTGGGGATTGAGGTTTTGATTATTTCGTGAGGTTTTAACTGGGGGGG